TTTAACGCGAGATGCTAACCTTCCGCGCGTTTAAAATTTCAAGCCCCGCGATTTCATCTAAATCACGGCCCTATCAATTCTACAGCGTAACGAAACACTGTTACGCGCTCGGCGATTTCTTTCGGCTACGCTGCGAGAAAATCGAGCAAAACGAATATAAACGATAAGCGGTCGAGTAATAATTTTCTTACCAGAGAGATCGAACATCAGGTAAATGCGTTTACTAATCGTTGGCTATGATAAGTTGCCTTTTTGTCGACGAACCCTAGCCGGGCCATTGATTAGCTCGGCATCGACCTTCCTGCGGTGGTATCGCCTCGACTCTCCTTCGTCCATTACACGCCATCGTTCTAATTATTATCCCATGGATCGAGACCTTATCGATTCGTCTCACCGTGTAGCCGAGGGTAATCGAGGTTCAAACGAATGTGACGAATCGCGAGAAATCAAGATTAAGCGGGATCGTGAGGTGCAGCTATTAAAAGCGAGCACTTTTTTCTTTATTGTAATTTACTTGACAAATGGAAGAAAATTATTGCGACGCTATAGCTACTACAGTGTAAGACCGCAATTATTCGAAGATAAATAACATGTTATGTTGAATATAGTACGTGAAAAGGGCTATTAATAAACAAATTAAGTAATTTGAATAAGTATCTTGTATCTATATTAAATTATTAAGATTGAAAAATAATCAAACGTGCGATGCCATTTTTTTCTTGCATCGAGATTGCACTATTTTATTGCTCCTCGATAGTCGTATTTATCTATGTCGTTCTTTAATTAATTAATAATTGCTTTAATTAATAAATGCATTACGTGCGAACTTTTTATTCGATATAACTAGTTGCATGCATATATGTACCGAAGAGATACAATCTGCGATATACATTATACAAACAAATATCGTATGGAATGATATACTATCCCTTGTAATACTCAATCCTTGAATTATTTAATACGTAGTAATCGCCGAATTTATGCATTATCAGTGTCCTCTGGATTGTAACTTTATTATCGAAGTTAAATCTCACGATATTCGATAATTTATTTACGAGAATTTCGCTATCATTAAATTACTATCAAAGTCCTTTATTAATTCAAACTATTGCTGCACACACAAGGGATACGCGCTCGAATTTTCTTCGAACCAAAGCGAAAACGTTAGCAACGAAATATCGATCAATCATATCGAATTATTTAACAAGATACACTTTGCAGATGAAATCCATCGAAACTCGACTACTGCCAATTAAACGTACGACGATTTATCAAAGTTTACGGAAACGCTTAAAACCAATCAAATCTTTACTGACGGTATGCGCTCCGGTTAGGTTAAATTAAGTTGTTGTACTCATTTGTAACCTCGTTCTATCGACTCGAGTAATCTCGCCTCTGTACATGGATGGTAGCTGGAATTCTTTTCCACGCTGTTCTTAGAACAGCGACGTGGCTTTAAGTAAAATCTGGAGCAGTAAAAATCGAACGCGCAGGTGTCTCCGACGAATTAGCCGGCGCGGTTCGTAAACCACGCTATGACTAATTATCGGCATTGACGCGGACTAAAGGAGCGGAAGACCGGTTGATCGAGGCTGTTGGAAGCTTATGCCGGCGGAGAATCAGAAGTTGCTAGGCCCATTGCTGCTCTCGCAAACTCATTATCCGAGGCTTGTACCGAGCCCTACCCGTCTCTGCACCTTTCTCCGTCCCACCTCTGTCCTCTCTCGTTCCTTCTCGTACCCTGCACCTCTCGGTACTAATTATAACCGTAATCATGGCGCGCATTAACTCTCCTTGTACAGGTAATTGTTAATGAGAGCACACGAACCAGATTGCATTATTACGCTGCCGCTATAGCCCCCCAATGGTAATTAGAGTCGCCTCCGATCGAGTGGATGTCTGTTCTCTCTATCCCAAGCTAGCCTCTTCTTCGTCTTCCTTTTCTGACTTCTTCGCATTTTCGAGATTCGCCCGCTTTCCGTTACACACCGTCGCGTCGGACAATTACGATTGTCTTCTATCGTTATCTGGTTGAGAGTTATCCTCTGGAAAAATAACCCATGTCGTAAATTGTAGGGAATCGAGTAAATTGCGTTAAAAATTTTAGCACTAGTTTTGAAATATTAGATACGTTTCGATGGATAATTATAATGGCTGTTAAAAAATCTCGCCTTTTTTAGAGTATTTATAAAGTAAATTAAAATTACGTAACGAGTGTATGCCTTGCTCTTTCTCAGGAAACTTTTCAATTGTAAACGTCGCCAGTTTCCAGATTAAACAAAGTTACCACCAGCTACGAACGAAATGAGTTATCGATCGCAGTAGGATGTTTGTAGCTTTGCTGGAATGCAAAATTTAAAAGTGTTGAATAGGATATGAATGGTTATAATGATGTAACAATATGTAATCTTTATGTAGATGATATGCTGAATACCTAATCATAATTGTATTATATTATTGTACAATCATATTTTTATTTTGCAAGATATTAGATGTCCAGTCGAGTAATACAAATAGTCCACGTAGAAAAAGATACAAAGATACGAACTCGAATTTTGAACGATTAACGATACAAATTATTTACGTAGCCAATTTCATTTTTGTTACACGTTTATATTCGTACCATTATATTTCGTAGTAATACTTTTCCATTTTAACATTGATCGTGTACATATATACAGGGTGGTTGGTAACTGATGGTACAAGCGGAAAGGGGGTGATTCCACGCGAAAAAAGAAGTCGAAAATATAGAATAAAAATTTTTCGTTTGAGGCTTTGTTTTCGTTGATCGTTGTCTCGATGGAAAAATTAAAAAAAAAATTTTTATTCTATATTTTCGACTTCTTTTTTCG